GCTAACCAGCTAGCCTTTCGCTTCACATTCCCATACTTGTGCTTTGGTGACGCAGTGTTAAGCAGGATACTTCAAAGTTAAAAGTAAAGTATTTGGTGCTTGAACACTGAATACCTCAAACTAAAGGTAACGTATAAAGTGACGGCCTTCATTTTAAACAGTTGTACTATGCATTCTTTATGTCAGATATTTTTGCCCATTCCTTACTGCTTATTAATGTGGTGATGTGCATACACAATTATTGTATTAAAATTACAATATATTACAATAATTGCCCTGCTAATTTCCGTTAGCAGGATTTTATTGCCGTGGACTGAACCACGTGTTGTTCTATTTCTGCCAAAATCTAACTAATCTAACTATTTAACACAACAATGACATTTTGTCAAGTCCCGGATTTGTATTTGAGATTTCATCACTTTCTCCCTGAGCCAAAGTCTCCTAATATACCACTGCGTGATGCACAACAACGAATTAAGAAAAGAAAATTTGAACACGTAGGTATGAGGTATTCTTCTCAGAATGTGTAAGGTCCCTTTTGGTGTTTAGAAATGTACAGTTGCTTAATTATTGTATTCTGAAGATACATTCTGAATACTTGTCATCGTGTCACGACGCTACTGTAGCTGTTTTTTGCTGAGTCATGACTGTATATTATCGCATTCGAAGTGAGTAATTTTGTCCAAGGTGCATTATTTGTGTTTCTTAAGCTATGGGTCAGGGCCATGAAATGAGTCGCACCGTACCAGTTGCTGACAAGTTAGTTGACTATAGTAATAATTAACCAGGTTTTCAGCAGAGAAAAAACATTTTATAAAATTTTCAGTTCAAAGATGTGAAGTTTAAAGAGTTCCTCTAGAAAGGTATAAAAGTGTTTTGGACACAAATAGTAATAATAGGAATTGAAAAGAGAAAAATGCAGTTTTAACCAGGTTGCAGATTGAATGTCATCTATCAACTGTTAATACACATCGAATACCAACGCAATAAATGACCTAACAATAAATCTAATGTTTCAATAAGAGGAAGAGATCTATCTATCTATCTATCTATCTATCTATCTATCTATCTATCTATCTATCTATCTATCTATCTATCTATCTATCTATCTAGTTCAAAGAGCTTAGAGCTCAGACATCTCTTCCATTGCCAAAGCACATATGCGACAACAACAGCAACAATACAATGACAGACAAAGTCAACAGTAGGTAATAGTCTCTCTTTCTTCATTGTTTCTGCCACATACCTGCTTTTCTGTGGCTGTTACAGGTTGTTGTAAAAGACGGGGGTTTGGAGCACAACTGTGTTCAGTGTTTTTCTTTGGTTTTCTTTGTGTTTGTCCGTGTGGTCTGAGTCTGAAACCTGATTTTCTGAGTCCGCCTGTGGAAAAGTCTGTGAGCTGCATGCAAATGAACCGCTTTACGTCCGCTGTTTGAGATGGTTTTCCAAAAAATAATGGGGATGTGTTTGTCCTGCTAGCTTTTCTCTCACGCTGCAGTGAGCCTGAGTTACCTGATACTCTTCATTTTCTTCTCCTGTTACATTATTGTTTTGTTTTTTTTTACTTTTGACTTGCTTAAGCTATATTGGTATAGCACTCTCCTTCAAATTACAAAGTGCTTTAAGACTTTTTTGAACCTTCTTGAATAAGTTTTTATTTATTTTGCACCTTGTCAGAATTCTTTGTTGCTCTTTTCTTTTATTCTTCTTATTTTTTTGTTTTCTTTTCTTTCGTGTTGATTTGCCCTCTATGGCGACATGTATTCTAACCTCAATGAGGGACTTGTACAGTGTTACCCTCCATTTTCCCTTCTCATCTTGATGAGAGTCAGACCTCGGCCACGTCACCTTCCTGACTTCACGTCCGACATCGCTGTTGGACTGACGGACTCGGGTGTAGCGCTGCAAACCAAACCTGCACACGGACGCTTTGGTTCTCCATAATTCACTCAGTGGCACGATAGCTCTCACAGCAGGAATACTCTTTTTGTTTTTTTGGGCTAAACTTGAAAATAGTCTGTTTTTCTGGCTGAATTTACATTCAGGTGCCACTGAATACATGACAACAAATGCACTTTAATCTCAAAACTCATAGTTTGTATCTTTAGGGAGAGTTCAATGAAGATACAACCAGGAGACAGTTAGCCTAGCTTAGCATAAAGGCTGGAAACAGAGGGAAACAACTAGCCTGGCTAATGTGCACCAAAACCGAAGCGTAAAAACGTCAAGCTGTGGTTTTATGGAAGGTCAGGAGCTGGAATATTTCTTGGCTGGAATGGACATATTTATTTTTAAATTAAGGAGATTTAAGAGATGAAATACTTTGTTTCTTGTGAAATGACCTGCTGACCTTCCAGGATCACGAATACAAAAAAAAAAACACTCATGTTTTGTTCGTGTATTTTCAACCAGAGTTCTCATTTGTTATGGGAAGTTGCCACTAAAGAGTGTAACCCAATCAAAGAGAGTATTTCTGCTCTCAGAGCCACGGTCTGCACCGTGACTTTCAGGGTGTGGGGATGTGGCCTTGGTCTGACCTGTGGCTGTTCCATGATACTGTTTGCCTTGTGGCTGTATAAAATAGCCCTATGCCTATGGAACCTGGTGTCTTCTGGTGAGCTACATGTGTGTATGTGAGTATATACACACCTTGTTGCTGTTTATTTATGTACTTGTATGTATTAAGTTGGTTATTTATTTATTTATTTATTCCTGCGTCCTATTTATTGGTTCGGGACCTGTGGCGTGTTTGACGATTGTCAATACATTGGTGTATGGCGTGGAGGAGGGGAGGGGGCGGGGGGTGGGGAGGGACTTTGGGGTTCTGGGGGAGGGGGTGTGGTCAATGGAAAAACCTAGCTGTGATACTAACTCTAACTGTTGCTCTCCTCGTACTGGACGATGATATAATCTAAGACCACTGTATGTATAACTGCTTGTCGTGAAGATGAACTACAATGTAATGACAATAAAGAATTAACACTATGATGACACGCTGCAGACACGAGACTCCAATCTGTTCCTCTTAAATACACAGATACACTACATGGCCAAAAGTATGTGGACACCTTAGTATTGAGAGTCATATGAATGATCATATGTATGATCAGAGAAGGAAACCGGTCACAGATATAGATTGACCTTACATCTGCCATATTGTACATTCTTACAGTTTATTCAGTGAGATGTTATTCTGCAAGAATATGTAGAAATTTTTATTTGTTACATTTATGGAAATGGTTAACATGGGACACTAACATCAATCTAATATGTTCATAGTGTGTAAATAAAGTATTTAAAAAGGGATGAGATAATAGTAGGTTGTTTGAAATGGACGTCAGGTAAATCGTATAATAAGGAGAATTTAGTTCCACACTGACAATGAAGATGTTTAGACAATGACTGTAAAATAAAATCAATGTCACATTCATTATTGTTGGTTTTCACCGCTGATAAATGTAAGAGATTAATAAATGAATAAAACACTGCTTCAGCTAATGTATTATTATATTGTTAGACTGTTATTACCAGGCAGAAAACAGAGGCATGCTCAGCTGTTTGGACCAGGCTCAGACCAAAATCATACAAAAGTAAGGGGACAGAGGTGTCCACACACTTTTGGCCAGATAGATAGATAGATAGATAGATAGATAGATAGAGAGAGAGATACCTACTTGGTCGGCTATTGAATCCAAGTGTAATGACCGCTAAGGCGCTGTCGAGTTGATTCCCTCCTGCTGTCATTTCCCTCCTTTTACAAACCAAGATCTGATGCATTCAGGTGCACCTCAAAAGCTCAAACTTTACACTTTCCGAACAACAAAATATGACATTTCCAACGAAATCAAGCATTTTCTTTGTCAGAATAATAATACAACTGAACCAGTGCCCTAACTGTCAAATAAATGTAGTGGAGTCAAACGCACAATATTTCCGCCCTGAAATGTAGTGGAGTAGAAGTAGAAAATAACATACAATTAAAACACTGAAGTTCATGTAAAGTGCCTGAGAACTGTTCTTGAGTAAATGTACTTTGCTGCCTTCCCCCTCTGAATAATTCAATAAGTAAAGAACCAAGGTCGAGACCATGTTTTGTAATAACTGTATATACTCTCACGATCTATATAATACAAAAATAACTTTTCGTGATGGTGTGTAATTAGTGTGAGATTGAGAAAAGTCAAATGTATTTCAAAATTGGGTTTATTATTTGTTTAGTCGACAATGTGCGTTTGCAAATTAAAAATTCTGATATTTTTGAGGGCAATTGAAAGCGGCAAACGGCTTGACCCAGTTTTCACACACGCCACGGGAACGTTTCACTCGGCTTGACCCAGGATCAAGTTCGACGAAAGAAGAGCCATTCGTACCGGAAGTAAAGTAATTTGCCTTCAAAATAGATGCGAAACCACCATACATAGGAGAACTTAGTATAAAATACAATAAATGTGTATAGTTTTATAGTTTTGTTGGATTTTGTCTTTCTGTGTCACGCAAATAACACACACACACACACACACACACACACACACACACACACACACACATATATATATATATATATATATATATATAACAAATGGAAAATATGTGAATAGCCAACCTGGTATTTGTGCATCATCCATATTTACACATTTACATCTGTTTTGACCTTGCTAATCAAAATATTGTGCGATTATACATAGAGACATTTGCTCTTTAGATAAATTGTGTACAATATAATTCTCAGTATCATATTCATTATTATCATCCTTAATATACATATTTTTAGTGTACTCTGTGTGTTATCAGCCCATTACCCTTTTCTCAGGGCAAACACACGTTATCTGAACAAATGTTGACATATTTATTATTAAAAAAAATAAAAATGTATCATAAAATGTATGTAAAATGTATTGGTTATGCATGTTATTTTTAGGGGGGAAAACAGCATTTCCGCTGCACGCATGCGACTTTTATTTTGGAAACATATCCCGGAAGTGTTGCGTTTTTATTGTGGCTACCTTCAATCTGGTTCCGCGTGTTGATAGTGAAGACAGGATCGAAGAGAAACAAATTTTTAGCACCACAAACCCGAACTAAGGCCGAAACCAGAGGAAAATGGACATGAAGAAGAGGGTCTCCTTAGAGCTGAGGCACCGGTCGCCGACAGAGGTGAGTACCCGGGTTTGTTTCGTTGTTTTATCGGAGACGTTGCAGTGTAAACTTGACCGGCCGGAGAAGGAGGGGTGCCGAGCACATGGCAGGGTGTCTGCAGCTCCCGAAAAGTGCCGAAATGTATATTTACTCCTCACAAACAGCTTCCAATAAATTAATAAACTATGTAACACAACTTCAATTAGTTACACGTAAATCCCCAATTCAACTCCGGAGGCCCGTTATCTCTTGGCCATTTTATCGCTGGTAAACAGCTGCGTGGCTGCGCTGTTTACCGCTTTGTTTTCATTATTAAACGCACACTTTTTTCTCACTACAGTTAGCTCACAATTGTTTTGCACATTTCGTAAACTGTGACTTATTAACGGCTCCTGGGAAACGAAACTTAACGTTCAATATGCACATCCGTGTCTCCCGGGGCCTGGCTAATGTCTGGGATCACATTGCTACGAAGTTATAGGACGATTTATATCTACTTTATAAAAGCCTGTTGGCAATTTAAATATTTAAGAAACGTATTTATTTTCGTCGACGAGTGTGTGTATCACCTGTAGTGGAAGAATTATACAGTTACGTTAACAGGCTAAAATTACTTCGTCACGATATCGCCTTTATAGGAAAATACTCGTGCAAAGCAGGAAATGCGATATTTTTCGATTTATATACTAATCCTGGTTTAATGTAAATTATATTTATTTACAACTGCAAAACCACGTTTATACTGCTTCGCAACTTAAACTTTATCTGTTTAAAAACTAAAATCGACGCTGTGGATATTGGCGCATCTCCAGGGATTAGTCGGAGCCCGTGTGCTGAGGGCGCGTAGCCAGTGGCGTGCTAGTTGCTAGCTTGCTAAAGAGGCTACTTCGTGTGCTCGGGTCTTGATACAGCCGCCTGGCACGCTTCCTTAAACCGATATAAACCGGGTTATTTTGACTCGGGGGGCTAAGTTGTTGGAGGGGGCGGGTGAACAGTAAAGAGGCCAGCGGAGCAACCGTTACCGGAGAGCTAGGAGATGGGCTAACCGAGCAGCATCACGTGTGTCGGGAGTTTACAAACAGTCTCGACCGGGGTCCGTTCCAATATGAAACGGTACAAGAGTCCTTAACACGATCCTGCTTCCTCTGCTGTGTCCTAACTTTTTGTACTCTTCTCATTATTCCAATTTATAAATCTTATTAATATTCATCCCAGAATCCAGTATTTGTATATTATTAAAACGTATACGGTCCCTTTTTTGCTTATCTCCAAGTGCACTAATGAAAAGTTGAAATTTATATCGACTAACGTCCACAAACAATTGGTTTTAGCTTGATATCATCTATATACAACACCTGACTTAAGGTATAGATACTAAAATTATACTAATTATGACAATAAATCATTGTTTTGTATTGTTTGTTTTCAAAGTGTAATGTTTTAATTCACCAGATCTATCAAAATAGTGTAAAAAGTTGCATTTAATCGTGTATCCTCATCAGCAACTCAGAACATGGCTGCCAGCAGGTTGAGTTCAGTTAGATAAAACACCCAACACCATCCCTCCACAGCCAGAACATATGGATCAATAAGGCATTAACACCCTCACCGTTATCACAGCTGGATACAGATAATATCTATTTATAAATGTGGCCTGTGGTTTTATTTTAAGTTGAATTAAGGAACGTCGTCAGAGAAGTAAATGCCTATGTCCTGCTCCCATACTGTTTTAATTTTGGTTGAAGGTGCACGTTTCAGACCTCCGTTGGTTGGGTTTTTTTTTTTTATGTTTTGTCTCTACAATGTCAGAAAATACTGAAAAAAGTTTGTTATAATTTCACACGTCAAAATTGGGTCTTCAGATGTCTTGTTTTTGTCCAAAAGCCAACGACATTCGCCTCCACCCAGGGGCTGCAAATAAAAATTAACTTATGTCTGATGTGGTAAATCTGTTGTGCAGTTTCCTTGTGAGAAATAATGTGAGAAATACATTTAGTTATTCATTTGATAAAATAAGCCAAAATTTAGTGTGTCCAGATCGAGGCAGCTGCTTCTATGATTGGTTAAATTATCATTTAAATGAGTTAATATCTGATCAGAGAATAAGTTAATAAGGTGACAAAATTCAACGCGTTTCGAACATTTAGTGAAGTAATGTGATTTTGTGTGGTTTAATCTGCTAGTCTCTGTGGTTTTACCCTGTGTTATTTCACTTTTTTGGGGTGTGCTGCTGAGGAGACGGAGCTCACTGGGGCAAAACGACTCTTTGAATTAGTCACACCGATACCACAGCCGTCAAATCCCAACCCTGAGTACAAGTCCTGTGAGTGTCAGCAGTCAGTAAAACCATAACTGCACCTCTACAATTTATATAAATGAGTATATCCATTTTAAAGTGGTTATAAAAGCGTTCCCAGTTAACAGTCCGCCAGAGACAAATGGGTTTTCCTTTGACCCAGACTGAGTGAACTGGTCAACAAAAACTCGTCACGCAACAAATCCGCAAAATAAACTCATGATAAATGATGTTGAGATTTAAGTGTGTTTTATTTTTATTGGAAAACACATAGAAATAACATCAAAGCAAAAAAAAAAACAAATCAAAGTCAGTTGGGTTAATGTATAAAATGAATGATTTTCTTCATTATAAATGTCATTGTTCTCTTACAGTTAGATATTTAACTTCCTGTCTGAACATATGGGGGGAAACACCATACCTGGAAGGAGCTGTGAGAGTCGAAACCATGACGACTCGCAGTGATCCAACAAACTCAGTGAAATTTAAAGATCTGATCGACTTTAAAACGGCTCACATCATGTAAAAAACAAACCTGACAGGTTGTTTAAAAAGAGACAGGTGATATGATTTTACAGGAACTGTGAAAACATCAGTGTTTTTCAGTTGAGTGAGGAAGTGAAAACAGGTGGTGAACTTTTTATAATGTTCAAAAGATGTTAAAAATAATTTACTGAACCAATAGGTAGAAGCTGTTACCTTTTCACACCGCAGAAGTTTTTATTGTCTCCAGCTGTGGTGTATGAGTTATTGATTGTTTCTTGCCTTAATGTTGGACTAACCCCACCCGGCCCCCTCCCCTCAGGTCCAGGAGCTGGTTCTGGATAACTGTCGCTCTAGTGAAGGGAAGATCGAAGGAATCACAGAAGAGTTCTCCAACCTGGAGCTGCTGAGCCTCATCAACGTCGGCCTGACCAGCGTATCAGACATCCCCAAGCTGGACAAACTCAAAAAGGTGAGCGCACCAAACGCACCTCACAGCCAGGGAAAAACATGAAGTATTAAATGGCAAGTCCAGAGAAAATAAAACAAACGTTCCCTCTCCTCTTGCAGTTGGAGCTGAGTGACAACAGGATATCAGGCGGTCTGGAGGTCCTGGCGGAGCGGCTGGTGAACCTAACGCACCTCAACCTCAGCGGGAACAAGTTCAAGGATATCAGCACCCTGGAGCCTCTGGTGGGTGGAGTTAGGAGCCCTGATGATTAATAACGGCCTGTTTTTATCTGTTCAATCTGGTGAAGTTGTTGGTGTGGTGACAATAAAGACATGTTTATCTTTTTAAATGATGCACAGCAACACATCTGACTCCTCATGTATAGATAGTCAGTTTGCTTTTGATATTTTTAAGGTTTTTATATGGACATGTTTTATTACAAAACATGCATGTGTGGGATTGAACAAGTTTCATTATGATTTAAATTTTCAGTCACAAACCTGTTGCAGGAAAACAATCAGTAACTGACAGATTGAAGCTATCGAAGCTCAATTTTACCTTTTTATTTTCATTGATAATTAGTTGTTTTGTTTATTAATCACATCTACCATAAGACACCTTGTGTTCAGATTGTCACTTTGTTTGACCATCAGTCAGAAAGTGTCTGAGCTGAAACCATTGGTTCATGTTGCAGAGACAAAGTGTGTAACCCCATTTGTTGCCCCCCCCACCCCCACCCCCACCAGAAAAAGCTGCCCCAGCTGAAGAGTCTCGACCTGTTTAACTGCGAGGTGACCAACCTGGCCGACTACAGGGAGTCCATCTTCAAGCTCCTCCCCCAGCTCACCTACCTGGACGGCTACGACATCGACGACTGCGAGGCGTCCGACTCCGACGGAGAGGGCGACGGCGTCGATGAGGATGAAGAAGGTGAGGGGTCAGGGGTCACGTGTAGATGACGAGACGCCGCAGCGCTGAGGTTTGACGGATCGCTGTAAATCCTGATCCTGTTGAATCCGCTTGTTCTTCTTCTGTGGTGTTAACGGTCCTGGAGGCCTCTACTGGAGTAGAATTCATGTTTATTTACTTATAACTTAGTCAAACACAGTTTAGATAATTTGATTAAGTTAAAACAAGTTTCTGGGAAATAGTGATGGACATTTTATTTTCTATTTAAACATCAATTCATCAGGAACATAATCTATAAACATTAATTACAGCCTTAAATAACGTTAGCTTGTGTACATTTGTGCTAAGCATTTTTAAAACTAGAGTTCAAGCTGCTACAAACTATTTTCATGATTTAATAATCTGTTTTATAATAATCTGGGTTTGTTTTTTGTTTATAATTTTTTTGTCTTAAAAGTTTTGTTAAAAACATTTAATTGCTTGTCAGAGCCTGAAATGATGAATCCAAATATATTAAACATTTAAAATTTTTACATTCCAGAGGGTGAGTCAGAGGACTTTGAGGAAGAGGAAGAGGAGGATGAAGAGGACGTTGTGGCTGAAGATGACGATGACGACGACGACAGCGGCGACGACGAGGTGAATCTGAGTTTGTTTCCCTCTGTGGTTTTTAGAAGCATCATGTTACAGCGTGACACTGACTGTCGTCTCTTTTGGCTTCGTGTATTTGCTGTGTCGTATTTCGTGGTAATTAAATCAATGTTTAGGTTGGTCAAGATTTTTGAGGCCAGTGTTTGTGTCAGTTTTTATTCACTTTTATTTCAACGTGGTAAAAAAAGAAAAAAAAATTTCTGCAGTAGTTTGTGTTGCAGCCCAGCAGAGGGCGCTCTCCAGCTGCTGCTTCACCCGTTGGTCTCAGTACCTGTTGATTTGTTGATTATTTGTTGTTTAGACAAAGTTTGAGTGAAGATGTTTCAACAGCAGGAGTTTGTAGAAAAATGTTTATTTTTTGTCAAAGTATAAAAACACTTCAAACAAACTTCTCTCTCTCTCTGTAGGACGGAGAGGTGAATGGAGACGTGGACAGTGAGGACGATGATGAGGATGAGGAAGACGAGGAGGATGATGGTCAGTAACAGTGTGGCTTCCTTTTGATTAATGAACCTCTTTTTTTTTTTTATCATCAAAGAAAAACAATTAACTGTTCTCGTTGTCGTCGTTGTTTAACTTCTCCTCTCCTCTGCAGACGAGGATTCCTCTCCGGCCAAAGGAGAGAAGAGGAAGAGGGACCCTGAGGATGAGGATGATGAAGACGACGACTAAGGACCCACAGAGACCCCGCAAACCCCTCTGACCTCTCGCCCGGTGACCCCGCCCACCCACACCCCGACACCTCACCGCCGCCACCAACACTGGTCCTGCTCCTCTGACTCCTCCCCCCCTCCACTCGGCCGACTCCTGGGCTTGCGTCTCTTTTCTGAACCTGGTCTCCTCCTGCTGCGCCTCTTGTCGGCTCCTCAGACCGAAACGACTCCCGTTAACTTATAAAACACCTCGTCCTGCTTTTGTTTTGTTTTGTTTTGTTTTTTTATTCGCTTGATCTTTAACTTCTAAAAGATAAAACAACAATTTACATCATCTCACAAATGTTTCCCCCAAAGTCTCTGATAATAACCTGCAAATAATTTTCTGTTCATATAATTCACACTTTCTGTTTATGTGAACTCAGGAATAAGACACAAAGCTGATTAAAACTCCACCTGATCATTATTTTCAATATCAATTAATCCACTGATTATCGTCATGATTAATTTTGTCTTTAAAATGTCTCTGGTTCCAGAAGCCGGAGACATTATTTGGCGTTTTTTTTGTTTGACAAATGAATGAAACAGTTACAGATAAATATTCTGTCAATCAACTTGTTTTCCGATATGCAGCTGAACAGAGTTGGTTATTGATTTTGATCATTTGAATTAAAGAGCCTCTGGTGATCGTGATCGTGATCGTGGCCCAAAATGGGGGGAAAAAGGTTTTTCTCTAAATAAAATAAAACAAAACGTCAGTCGAGATAAAACGCAGGTTATTTTCCTGATTTTCTTTGCACCTCTAAACTACGTTAAGAGGTGGAACACGGCAGCCATTTTGAAATGTATCACATTAACATAGTGTTTGTGTTTCTCAGGACGTAACGTCACGAGGCGGCATTTTATCTCCGTTAACAGGAAGTAAATTCATCACCAGTTGTAAGAAGCTCAAACGAAGCGTCACAGATCTGAGATGTTGCTGCCGTGTAGTTTTTTGTTTTGTTAGTTTGTAATCAAACATAAGCTTCTGTTTTCTTTTTCTTTTTTTTGAGAAAAGTTTGATGTATAAACTGTCAAAATCACTTTTTTTGTAATATTTTGTTGGTTCATTTGCAGCGTCAAAGTTTTCCCGTGGTCGTTGTGTAATTACTTGGTGAACAAAGGTTTCAAGAGAAGACGGAGCGTGAGAAATAAATGCATGTGGGTCGTTTCTGTGGAGGGAGAACGGACAAGAGCTCACGGGAGGTGGCGGCACTTCTGGGATGCAAAAGAATAACCAAAACCCTTGATTTCTGCTTTCCCGTCCTCCTTTTTGTCCCTCCCTTTTCCCGTCTTCCCCAGCACCCCCCCTCTCTGGCGTTGTAACTCTGTGATGTCACTGACGGACAGTGGAACCCGGCGAACGTCTTGAGATCTCCTCCCACAACCCTCCACCCGCCCTCCCTCCTCCCATTTCCCCCGAGGCCGAGCGCGCTCAGGGCAAACTGTGTTCTCTCTCTTTTTTGCCAACAGAGCTTTTTAAAGAAATATTTTTTCAAAGAAATTGTTTTTGTTTAATTTTGTATGGTTGTCCGGGGACTCTCTCTCTCTCTCTCTCTCTCTCTCTCTCTCGCTCTCTCTCTCGCTCTCTCTCTCTCTCTCTCTCTCTCTCTCTCTCGCTCTCTCTCTCGCTCTCTCTCTCTCTCTCTCTCTCTCTCTCTCTCGCTCTCTCTCTCGCTCTCTCTCTCTCTCTCTCTCTCTCTCTCTCTCTGCCTGTTTTCTCTCCTGAGAGATCCAGCTGTTCCTTCACACTTACACTGACTAGTTGAATTTGTTTTTTTTTTTCCTTTTTTTTTTACCTTCTGTAAGTTAAAGAAAAAACAAACAAAAAAAAAACATACAAAAAGAACTTTGTAAATAAAATCTTAACATTTTGCTCCTGCCGTCTTTGTTTCCCCCTCGTTATGTTCAGACTGACGTGAAGCTGATTTCCCAGGTTGTGATGCTCTGCTAAGCCTAACTAATAGAAACCAAAGTAATAAACAAACTCACATATTGATTGACAGGTGTTCGTCCACCCAGATGTCATGAAGCTTAACTTACAGAAATGATTAACAGCTTAAAACACTTAATTTATGCTCTTACATTTTGAATGTATCGAATCAGTTAAGAACATGAGTATTGATATTATTTGTGTGGATTTATTGGTCTGTGTGGTCTATATTAGACGTTGACATTAGTAGATTATTAACCGTCATATCATCATTATACCTGCGGCAGAACTTACCTGACAGAAGCTAAACGTGTTAACATACAATTACCATGTACAAATGAAAGTGATGTCTTTTACTGAGTGGAAATGTTGAGTATATTTTGATTGGTTCAGTGACAGTGAGATTTGGTCGTTTGAGTCAGAAGGTCGCCCTCATGTTGTTTCTGGTGTTTTTGATCTCCAGCTCCAGTTGAGCGATCCTCACCTGCAGAGCAGAAACTTTAATTCACCAAAAACAATATGTTTCCTACTAAACTGATGAATTACACTCAAAAACTGGAATGGCACTAAAGTATTGCGTGTACTGTACTGGAACAATTTGCACCAAACTTGGTGGAGGGACGGGGCCTGGCTCGGGGCTTTTGGTGCAGACCTGGTCAAAGGGCAATCCAGGAATTTTTTGGTGGAATCACTCCACCAAGTTTGGTGCAAGTCGGTTCAATACTTTTTAAGTAGTCCTGCTGACTGACCAACAGACACAGGTGCAAAGGTTTGATCTCGATTGGTCCGAAAAGCTCCTTCTAAGTTTTAATCCATTAAAGTTTGTTGGCCTTGGTTTCAGAGGATGACGGAGCATGTTGGCTGATTGTGTTTATGTACTAACATCTTTCTGATTAAGTTGTTCCTGCAGGCCTCTGATCTCGTCTTGCTGTCTGTAAAACGCTTGCAGGAGCTGGAATACAGAGAAAATGGGAATGAGATTCTTGGCATGCCAAAGCATTTTGAACACGCGCAGTACGCCTTACCTCGCTTTCGGTGGTCGGTGGCGGCCTCTCTGCAGGTTCGCAGCAATGCGGAGTGCAGCAGTACATCCACAGCGGGACCTGGGTCTCGTCTGGCTGCCACCCGGACAGGTCGCTCAGATCTCTGGGGTACTTGGCGTCCTGGTAGGCCAGCTCCTCCTCAAGGAAGGCCTCGAGAGAGAGAGAGAGACGATCGGCAGGTTTATTCAACAACAGGAAAAGGGCTAGCCAGAACTGTAAAACTCTTGGCAGGAGGATTTGATGTGCTACTAAAAGCGACATGGGAGAACTGCCAGTGTCGCCTTTAGTCACGCAACCTGTGCGACACTTTGCCTCTGCACTGTGGCCACTACCTAATCTTACTGTGAACACGGCTCATAGTGCTGATCATGGGTTGACGGCCTTGGAAATAAGACCTTGAAGGCATCAGTGATGTTCTGATGTGACGTAAACCCGTGTTTACTCACAAACCTTCGATTCCAACTGGACGACCCAACGAAACTACCTAGTGGCAGAGGATTCAATGATAAACGCTGCTGATATTGACGTGTTTTTAAGCCCGTTTTACCTCTTCCATGAGTTCAAGGTTTGTCCCAGTCACCGCACCAACAGCTGGGCCTATCTGGAACCGGAGGTTGCTCAGCTTTCTCACCAGCCCCTTCTCAGCAGGGGTTTCTGGGTAAGGGTTGGCTACTCGAGTCTCAGGCTTCAAGGAAATCAGGACTGGGTCTGAGCAAGAAACGTAAGAGGACGGGTCTTTGTGATCCAGTCTGTCTGGCGTTTTGGTTCAAAGGTACTATTGGGTTACTGACCCCTGTTGATCCCCGACAGCCACTCCTGAGCCGTCATGGCCGCCTGGTTTCCAGCTGTCATCGGGTACAGATCCTCTTGGAAAATACCTGACTGCAAGGACAGACAAAACCACAGCAACTTGTCCTTTTATCTTTGTTGTTTTTCCTTTCCGTCTTCATTGTGCATCATCACTGAATGCAACGAGGTGAGGGGAAATACATTATCCCAACCTCTTTTCGAGGGACGATCATCGACAGTGGTTCCACCAGGTCTTTCACAGCGATCAGGCGATAAAAGCGGAAAACTTCACAGGCGCTCACGTCCAGGCCGCGCTTTGGCATCACTCCTGGAGTGAGGTCAGAGGTCAGAGGACATGTGGAGTTGGTCATTGAGGATTGGGAAATTGACTTTGTAGAAATTTGTTAAACAATTAGAACAGCTAGCCAAAGGTGGTCCTTTCTAAAATAAGTATTGGTAGAGACTTGCCCAGACAGATTTGGTCTATTCATGTCCTAGTATAGCTAAGTACTGCTAAGTTTTAGTAAGTATAACTATATAAGTATATACCATAATATTTAGAAGCGGTATTGCTAACCTAACATTGCTAATTGCTACGATAGTGAGTGTTTCATCTCACCAAATCCTTTCTGCGGAAGCAGGGACCTGTACTCTGTCAGGAAGCTAATGTAAGGTTTCTCTGCGCTCAGTTCGTAGTAGCGGATGTTCCCGTCGCCCTACGGCACACAAACACACCATAACATTTACAGAGATCCTTCAGCTCCTTACCGGTGGTCGTGTGTAATGATAATCTGGGGATTAAAGGGGCACAGCTGTATTTTATTGAGGCATTGAGTTTGAACTCTACGTTCAGTTTTTCAGTTAGAGAAAGTAAGAGTTGGGGGTGCAAAGCAAAAATTAGTCAGATTTAGTTTTACACATTTGTTGTTAAGACCAAAGAAATCCAACTAAAGCAGTGTTTAGTAAATTATGTGTGTCTACGTGTAAGTGTGTTTTTTTGTGTGTTGCATGACCTTCCCAGCCAGGTAGAGCATGTGGGTGTCCGGGTCATAGAACGGGAAGAGAACTCCTGCAGACCCGTCCAGATCTTCTTCGTACAGAGGCTCAGATAAGTCGTCCTGCACATAAACACACCACAGACGGAGTGAGACGGAGACACAAACAATGTTTTCAACTCTAGATTTCATGATTAAATGCTCACAAAACACCACTTTCAGTTTTAAGGGTTGAACAAAGTTGTTGGACGTAGAAATGGACGGAAATATCTGGAGGCTGAGCTGCTTCTTACACCCAACAAGACTGAGGACCTCAGCCTTGCCAAAAGGAAATAATCTCTCATCATAGAGGCACGTATACTCTTGAGCAGTTTTGTTCCTCATTGTTTGTGGTTTTGTGTTTCCAGGAAGAGAACAAAGTCACTTAGCAGAGCTCAGAAAAAGGTTGTGGTAAAATATGAAGAGAAAAATGCAGATAAATTACAACGTGCTGCAGGAAGCTGTATTTCAGGACACCTCTCAACTAATATATTCACTCTATTCAAGTTAATACATCAATCATTTAATCTAGTCAACCAAACAATCACTGTGTTTGACGTGTGCGATGTCTCACAGGGTCCCAGAGGACGATCTGTCTGTGGTTCCAGGGCGAGCTGCCAGTGGACAGAAGCATCTTCAACCCTCCGATGTATAAAACCTTACTGGCCCTGTGGGACTTACTGCTGGACACCTGCAGGAACAGAAGGGACATTATTACAACCTGTGTTTTACTGTTTACATAAGGACACACAATGGACACTTCAAAAACACACCTGCAAAATCTTTCCCGTCCGCGGGTCCAGGACTCGAACCCGTCTGTCTTTGGACGAGACCGCCAGCCTGCTGCCGTCGCTGTTGAAGCTGACGGAAAGCAGCAGCGTCTCGGACGGGTAGCGGTGGTGGACGGGCATCAGAACCACCCGGACCGGGTACCTGATTACAGCATCTACCTGGGACACGTCCCACAGGAGGACCTGGGACAAAGAGAGAGACAAAGCCACGGCTGTTTTGGACGGTGGGTACCTGAAAATACTGAAACGTAGCTTAAAGGAGTTTAACATAAATTAGATAGTTTAGTTTAGATTTAGCAAAATGCTAATGGAACCCAATAGAAGCCCAATTAGCAATTAGCCACCGACCAGAAAAAAAGATTATTTTTTTGTTAATTTGAGGACATCCTCTTTTTTCTTGTGCATTTATATATGAGAAATATACAAACAAAATAATTGAATGTTTTATATATATGCTGTAGTGTGGAACAGTCATATCATGCTTCTATATTTCAGGATAATACAATTACAAAAGGAACATATAATAATAAATATTATTATTATGGTTACCTACGTGTAAAATTTAATAATTTGTTCCTCACAAATCAGACAAAATTAAATGTTAATATTAAGTCACGTCTTGACCTTGTAGTCGTAGGCGGAGCTAAGCAGCAGGTTCTCAGCTGTTGGATGCCACTCAATAAGCCCCACCCTCCTGGAGTGACCAATCAGAGTCTTCCTGGCCTTGGTTAAGTTCTGTTGGACGCCACAGAGCGGGATGTCCCAGATCTTCACCTGTGCACATCAGACAGATACTGGTTTCTATGTGCTATGTGCTAAGCTAAACCTATAAAAAGATAAAAGTTAAAGAACATGGATGTTGTAGCTGAAACGTCTGAACATGAATATAAATCTGCACACACGTGAACAGGACAGTGCGTACAGTGCAGTCCTCTGAGCACGAGGCGATGCAGTGATCGTCAAACGGGTTCCACTTGACGTCCAGGACTCTCCCGCTGTGACCACACACCCGTGGGTGTTGAGGATCCACCCTTCCTGTCTGGTGCGAGACAGCAGGACGCCATTAAACCACTTGGTTCACAGCCGCACATTAAAGTCACGATAATTCACACAGGATTGAATTAATATGTGTGTATACATAAATATGAACTGTATGTACACACACACACAATACAATAGTTTTTACTCCCTACGTTTGTCACTTTTGTTGTAACTTTTGTTCATGAGGAGGAAAAAGGTGAAATGTTGAAAGAACGCACATGATGGATGGGCAGGACTAAAAAGGACCCGCCCCCGGCGCACTCAGTCACCACGGCGATGAAGCAGGGATTGGCAGAGCAGTAGTGGTTGTCGTGAACGCTGCGTGTGATTGGCACCCCGTCATAGCTGTGCTCCTTGGTGGCCGGCTTTCCGAACACATGGCGAAACTTCGAGCAGCGGAAAGACGAACGCCACGACATCTGCACACACACACACACACACACACACACACACACACACACACACACATACACACACACCAAAAATTACAAATGCATTACAAACATATGTCCACACTTACTCCTTTAAAACCCGTGGTGAGTGGAGAGACGGAAAACTGTGTCAGACCGACATAATCTAATAATAGTGTTGTGGAAATTCAGCAGCAGCATTATCTGCCCTAATCAATAATGCAATCAGCTCTAATTATTGGCTTTCATAATCTTATCAATAATAAATCGATTTCTTCAATAACTGAACTTTTGAATCATTCATACTCATGCAAAGTCATCCAGAACAGCTTTCTTGTCTCTTTGAAATATTTATAAGTTACAAACAGACTTCCTGTTCTTACAAATTCCTCCCGACCTTTGACCTTAAAAAAAGATCAGCTTACTGAAGAAAGAGCAAGAGGGAACACGAGGCTGTAGTCCAATCAGAGCAACAGATAATCAATTAATTATCAATAAAAACTTTAAACTTTAACTTTAAATTAAGTTATTTTGATTTGGATGTTGATTCAAAACAATTGGGGAAATATGCAAATTAGTTGGCAGCTTGTAATGAACAAAATCCACCTGTAACGTCACTAATTAACATGTCATTTGTTGTTTGGTTAATTTTTACCAAAAAGCAAAGTGTTGTCCAGCAAATAACCATAAATGTAAAATTGTAATTTTACACTTTTGTTCAGAGGAGCCGGTGTGTTTAACTTTGCTTCCTGTGGACAGAGCCAGGCTAGCTGTTTCCACCTGTTTCCAGTCTTTGTGCTAAGCTAAGCTAAGCTAACCTTTATTTACCATACGGGACTCTTCGAACTCTCAGCCAGAAAACAAATTAAATGTCAAACTCTTTTCATTCATCCTGTGACGTATCCGTCTTCTATTCTGCTGCTTATATTATTATTTATATGCTAATATCGTTTTCATTTTTCTGTTTTTTGTGATGAAATCAAACAGACATAAAAAAAAAAAAACGATAATGATATTACCCAAAATAATAATATAAGTAGGAAACTTTTACAGCATCTAGGTAAACAGAAAGAGACAGAGAAAATGACATTGTGAACATAAAACATAACAAAGTGTATATAAAATTAGATTTTATTGGTGTGTGTGTGTGTTTGTGTGTGTGTGTGTGTGTGTGTGTGTGGGGATGATGTTTTAATGAGTCGATCATAGACAATAATAATAATAATAATAATAATAATGATAAGTCATTAAATAGTAATTGTAATAATGTGGTAATAATGCAATGTAAATGTACACTTATATAAACTGACAGTATAATAATAGTAATAATGTCCAAAAGTAATTTGATATAATGATGATAAAGAGGGTGATAATTATATTGATGTAGTAAGTTTGAGCTCCACCGTCACTGACTCAGACCACAGGGTGAAGATAAAACGGCGTGGAGCTTGTTGGACATGGAGGCCTCTGGGTTTGTGGTCCCCTGCCCCGCCCCCGATCTCTCCCCTGTCAACTCCCCATTAAAGGCATGAAATTCTCCAAAACACTTAATAAAGATTAAATAAGGACATTGTCTTACCTCAAACGTGGATACAGGAATCTCTGGGTTCTCGCTCTGCAAACCAACCCCTGCTGTAATTGTTAGAATACTGTTGCCAGGACGATAACTGTGATGCACACCACCGGTGCTGTGGCAAATAACTGACACTACTACACCCTTTCCTGCCAGAGCTGGCAGCAGCTCTGTCTACAGCCCTGCTGACTTCTGACTGCAGCCACCTCCTGTGTGTGTGTGTGTGTGTGTGTGTGTGTTCACTCCTGATCCATGACGTCTACCCCCTCTTTCTTCCACATTATCCAAGGTATTTATGCACGGCTGCACGCACACAAACACCCCTCCACATCCGATACTACTGCCCCACACACACACACACACACACACACACACAGTAAACAAGCAGAACGCAGCAGCAATAGGGATGAAATAATGAAAGAAAAGAAACCCCTAGTAATGTCATTAGTTTGCATTAAGTTTAAAAACAGTGTGGTGATGCTGCAGCTTTAACAGCATCCTGGGAAATTTATTCTTTTTTGTCTCTTTCATTCATAACAAACAGAAAGTGACACTGTGACCATAAAACATGATGGAGAAAGTGTTTATATTTAACTGCCCCGGGCTCCACCCAGAAGTATTTAATCTGTCAATCATTTCTTGAAAACCTGAGTTCCTCGCCATCAATAGTTTATCTAGTTCCCTTTATCTTCCCTCTCCCCTCCCCCACTTTTACACTTATATATGCCCACTCAGGAAATTGACACAATTATCACTGAACATCGCGTTACCCGTAAATGTAATTACCCATGGGTATTTTCACATCTCAGCAAAGGACTCATCTCGCATCTGAACAGCTAGAAAACTGACTCAGACAGAAAGTCACATTTAAACAGGGTCACGCTTTTCTTTCTTTCCTCATAACTCAACACTGAGGCTTTTCTTTGAAGCTGTTATGGTCAGTAGGCGTTATGGTGTACATGTGGAAATGTAGTGTATTAAAATCTTTTCATTTGTGCTGATATTTAAATGTTTAGAGACTTTGACTCTTGTAATTTATGAATGATTAAATACTGGTGAACAGTAAGTACAGTGGCCTTGAGATGACGCCACTTTTCACGTTGTCATGGGTGTAAATAAACAAAGTTATGTTTATACTCACTGTTTCTCAGCCTTGAACCTTAATTTTGCATTGCGTTACACACTTCCACACTTAAATTTGTGGGTGTCGTCAAGCAGGAAATTGTACATTCACACCAAACACTGGCAGCAAGTCCACAGATCAGTGGTGAAATGGGTTTCACATCGCCATGCAGCACTTCATCATTAAAGCCAAATAAGTTTCTTCATTTTTTTTTTATAAGAAAGCTGAAATCAGAATCGGTGACATCTAATACTCCAGAAAAAGGCCAGTATCAGCCGTGATGCAGGGTTGGGTTACTACAGTTAATATATTCTCTGGAGAACAAACTTTAATCTCTTTTATTTCTTTTACCAAACATGCAAAACTTTGTTAATTCATGTCCATAAACTCTCTTTTATTTCTCTGGAGCTCAGTCACACCACTGTGATCGCCACCATCAACCTACACCTGCTACGCCCCACAACAAATAGAAAGAAAACCACAAGCTTTTCTTTCTGTGAAGCTGTGGCCTGCTCTGCTCTGGTTGCATTCGGACAGATTCTGCAGGTTGTGATATAATCTGCTGAAAACACATTCAGCAGAATCCACACATACACTCTGAGCTTCACACTTCTCACACACAGACACTTCCTCTGCCACATGTGTCAGTTATTTCCAACAGTGATTTTTATTTTAGTATTTACTTATATATTTATTTATAATATGTATTTTTAATTTATTTTAATTAATAAATGAATAGATTTATTTTGATTAATAAATATAGTTTTTTATTATATTTAGTTATATAAATATTTATAATATATTTCTTTATTTTTTATTTTAATAAATAATACTTATTTTTTATTTATCTTTTATTTTTTATTATATTCATTTACTTTATATAAATATATGTTTCTTTATTTATTTTTTATTATATTTATTTACTTAAATATTTATATCATATTATATTTCTTTATTTTTTATTTTAATAAAATACTTTTTTATTAATCTTTTATTTTTCATTCTATTTATTTACTTTGTATAAATATTTATTAATTTATGTATCTGTATATTAAGTAGTTAAAAGCAGCTACAACAGTAAAATGCTGCTTACACATTGATCCATCAGTATTACTAATATGATAATGTCATCTATCATACTATATCAGTGACAGGGGACATTTGACTTGTGACACTCCTCACACCTCCTGCTGTATACATATGTATACAGTATACTTACACATATGTAAACACATCTGCAGAAACAGGTACCTTGGTTTCAGCAGCACTGTCAACTGAAGGTTTGATGTTTCTGAAACTTCTGTCTGTTCTGATGATGACTGTGTTTGATGATGTCATAATTAGTGCTGTGTGTTGTTTCCAGGAGTCTTCTTCACACAGTCACTCGTTCTCTCATCTGCAGCTGCTGGACACAGGTAAGAAAACTGACTCTGAAACTTTAAAGGACCTCACATGCTCACATGAACACTCAGTTTAGTTTCCAAGTTTTCAGTTTTTGTGCTGGTAGTTATACATATATATATATATATATATATATATATATATATATATGTGTGCAACAAGTGGCATCTGTTCTTAATGACGATAACATTGTTAACCCTAACCTCCTCCGCCCCACAACAAAAACCACAGCCTTTTTCTGTGGGGCTGTTGGCTGTGGGGCTGTTGGCTGTGAGCCTGTGGGGCAAATGTGGTATCTCTAGGAGAACACTCATCACTCATTCTCTCATCTGCAGCTGCTGGACACAGGTAAGAAAAACTGACTCTGAAACTTTTAAGGACCTCACATGCTCACATGAACACTCAGTTTATTGCTCGCAAGTTTTCAGTTTTTGTGCTGGTAGTTAAATGTTTAGAGTATTTCACTATTATATTATATAAATGATAACAGCAGTGAATGGTAAGAGCGGTAGCTGTGAGATGACACTTTTCACTTCCTTATAAAAACCTCTGTCTTCTGACCAACTGAAACTTTAAGGGACAAATCTATGTAGTGAGGTTTTTCTGTTCTGTTGTGGTTAGTAGAAGTCATGGTGCACATGTGGAGATGTGCATGGTGTCAACTTGACAGTGTGAACAGACTCGGGTTGAGTTTGTGGTTATTAAGGAAGTGGCAGCAAACTGCTTGCAATCACACTAAGCTAGAAACATGGTTCCAAAGTTGATATCTGAAGCAGGAGATCTGATTTTTAGTGCTGATATCTGCAAAATCTGATTTAATATTGATTTAAAAAATATCTTTTATGAAATTCTTTTGACTGCTTTTCTATGGGAAGTGAGTGGAACATTATGATATCTCACTGCACTGTTGCACTGCACCGTTTGTGTTCCCACTTCCCGGTTCAGAGAGAAGGTATTAAAAGCAAAGGTGAAAAAAACTTCAGAAACCCAGAACAGATCGACAGTATTAGATGCAACTGCTGCTGCACGAAAAAAAACAACATCCATAAAATGTGTCTGACAGGTCTGAGCAGAGCGTGACAGAGTAACCACAACCTCAGCCGAGTCTTCACATAGATCCCCCATAGGTCACAATATAAAGTCTTCGTTCCTCAGTAACAGTACTCGACAGTGTGAAAACGAAAAAGTTAAGTTATGTTTATCTTCACTATTTCTCAGCCTTGAACTTAAATGTTCAAGCTCACACTGGTCTGCACTTTAACTGTTCACACTTTAATACATAGGCGTTGTCAAGCAGGAAATTGTACATTCACACAAAAAACGCTGGCAAGTCCACGAAAAGAGTAACAGTGAAATGTTTGCACCACTTCATCATTAAGAAAAGCCGAAATCAGAATCAGTGACAAATAATACTCCAGAAAAAGGCCACTATCAGCCGTGATGCAGGGTTGGTTTACTGCACTTAATATATTCTCTGGAGAACAAACTTTTTTATTTCTTTTATCAAACATGCAAAACTTTGTCAAGTCTTGTCCATAAACTCTCTTTTCTCTCTGGAGCCCAATCAGACCACTGTGATCACATTTCCCACCTGAGACGCTGCTGTGTTAGTGTTAGTCGTGGTGATGATGGCAGGAGCAGAAGTGTTGGAAACACCAGTGGTGGAAAGTAACTTCGTACATTTGCTCCGGTTGTATTCAGTGTGCAATCTACACCATGGCGTTCAGGGGAGCCAGCACATATCTGATACTGCTCAGAGAAATTAGGGGGACACTTAAATCACACATCGGATCTTGATAAACGAATTAGTCAAGTCGAAAATCTTTACTGATGTACATTGTATAATTTGTTGAGGAAAGAAAAAGACGTAACAACGGTCGATGGGAACTGAGGGGCTGGATTCACATTCACACCAAAATTAAAAAAGCAGAAATTGAAATCACAGGCAATTTCATCACACCAAGTCATGATGTGACTCAGTAGTGTGTATGGCCAACACGTCCCAGCATGCACTCCTGAGAGAAACTCTTTCAAAACCTTTCCCTTTTGAGAGTTGTCTTGCTTTTGCCTCCATTGCACCTGTTGTCACTTTCATTTGCACCAAAGCAGCTGAAATTGATTCACAAACACTTGTGCTTCCTAAATGGACAGAGAGATATCCCTGAAGTTTAACTGACTTGGTGTTATACTGTGATGATTAAGTGTTCCCTTCATTTGTTTGAGCAGTGTACATATATATATATATATATATATATATATGTATATGCTTGCAACAAGTGGCATCTGTTCTTAATGACGATAACATTGTTTAACCCTAACCTTCTCCGCTCCACAACAAAAAAGAAGGAAACCACAGCCTTTTCCTGTGAAGCTGTGGGCTGTGTTCTGGTTGGGCTTGGGTTCTGCAGTTGTGATATCATCTGCTCATAACACAACCTGCAGAACCCACACTCTGAGCTTCACACACACACACACACACACACACACACACACACACACACACACACACACACACACACACACACACACACACTTCCTCTGCCACATTTGACTGACAGCTTGGTCACTTTTACAACCTGTAGATGTTCTGCTGTAGTAGATGTAGTCACACAAATGAATCACTCGGCGAAAGGGAAAGGGTGGCGGGTGGCGGGTGGCGGGTGGCGGGTGGCGTTTGGTGGCAGCCGAAAACGAGGAACATGCAGGCACAGGCAGAGAGGAGTGATGCAGAGGTGTGGGCGATGCAGAAATCCCCTTTTGGGGCAGCAGAAGATCGGTCACCTCAGCCTTAATTGAAAAGGGGAAGATACTAACCATACTACATAACCCACAACAACAGGAGCTGTCTCGGCAAAAAACAACAAAGAGAGAGTCTGAAAATAAAAACTACCTCCTCTTTCTTCTCCCGTTGATCATGTGGCGATCATTCAGATTTATCTGGTGACCCCTTGGTGGGGCCCGACCCCTACGTTGGGAACCACTGCACTAAACTAAGTGGATATAAATATTTACATAAATAGATAAATTAAATATGTGTATATAAAAAAGCAGCTACAACAGTGAAATGCTGTTTACGCAGTGATCCATCAGTATTACTAATATGATAATGTCATCCATATTACTATACTATACTATAATAATATGATACTATAATACTTTAATACCAGTCACTAACATCTCCTGCAGTTCTGCAAAACGCCTTGAATGGGAGAGAAACCTGCCCCCTTGGAGTTTTTGGTGGCTCACACTTCTGCCTGTGTATCTGTAGCAGTTCAGTCATTACTCATCACTCATCCCTCATCACTCATCTGCAGCTGCTGGACGCAGGTAAGAAAACTGACTCTGAAACTTTTAAGGACCTCACATGCTCACATGAACACTCAGTTTATTGCTCGCAAGTTTTCAGTTTTTGTGCTGGTAGTTAAATGTTTAGAGTATTTCACTATTTTATTATATAAATGATAACAGCAGTGAACAGTAAGTAGCTTTGAGATGACACTTCCTTAAAAGACTTCTGAATGATTGAAACCTTTGTGACTGAAAGATTTAATTATTTTTTTAAATCAAGCATTCAGTACTCGACACTGAAATCTCTGTGAGGTTTTTCTTTGAAGCTGTTGTGGTCAGTAGAAGTTATGGTGTACATGTGGAAATGTGTGCATTAAAATCCTTTCATCTGTGCTGATATTTAATATAGCTTATACACTGTTGCCCATAAAGTTGGAATAATTTTGCTTTCAGACACAATCCTCTGTTTATTCTTATTTAAATGCATCAGTAATCACTTTTCACCAGGTGCAATGATTACACATTATGTGTCCCAATTACCAAGGTGAAATTAAATAAATCACATTGTCACAATCATTTCATGCAAAGAGGTAAAAAATATTTTATTCCAACTTCATGAGCAACAGTTTATATTCAGGAGCATAAAGTTGAATCCGCTTTTCTTACCAGACTTGCAAACTTTTTCAGTTCCTGTTACTGTCTTTTTTCTCTGCAGCCCAATCACACCACTGTCAACTGACAGATCAGCAGGAGCAGGAAGTGCATCACTTCAATGGTGAGAAGATAAACTATTATTACATTCACCTCAGAGCAAACAAGACACAAGAAACAACACATTAGAACAGACAAGATAGAAGAAACAACATGTCCAGTATGGGTTTATATGTGTATATATATATATATATATATATATGCTGTATATCCAGTTATTTATATGTTAGATATGAATAAAATACGTTAACTTTTAAGTAACAGTACTTTTTCCACCCCTGGTTACTGGATGGATTGGCTGAATACTTTTATGCAGATGTTCATGGTTCCCAGATGATGGACCTTAATGATCCAATGACTTTTCCTCTAGCGCCACCTTGAGGTTGATAATTATAAATTGTCCATTACTTTGGTTTACGATCAAATACCTATGTAATTTGTGTTTTCTGCTAAATAATTAATTATTGAGTTATTGCCACGCTAACACGCTCTCTGTGGTCATCATCTGTAGGATAGCAACCATCACGCCGCAGCGTCTTTCAGACATCAGCTCCACCCAGTGGGCGCCGCGCAGCAGTAAGTAAACTCCTTTCAAACCTTTGGTGAGGTTGATGCAGGAGCGTTGAAGAGCATCATGGTAACTCATAATGTTGTTGCTCTGACACCATCATTTTCTGTAGTGACGTCATACGTGACGACTGTCCGGAAAACTCAGCGACTGTCCAGGAGGCGCTGAGGATGAACCTCCCCCACCACCTGGTCCTTCAGCACGTGCAGCACAGGGTTCAAACCCACGGTGAAAATTACACTGACCTGAAGGTGCTGGTCGCAGATCTGTTTGCACCCAACGACTGGACCGGGAACCAGGAGGTTCCCATGGAAACGAACCAGCTGGAGGACGCGCTGATGATGGAGAGCCCGGCGGTGAAGGAGGCTGTGCGGATGGGTGTTCCGCCGCACCTCATCAAGCCAAAGCTTCGCGCCAAGATCTTGTCCAACGGACTCGGCTACGCTGACGTCAATGAACTGTTCACAGACCTGAAGCTGAAGTGGAAGAAAACTACAAACGTGTCGGTCAAGTTTTCCCATTAAAGAACTGAAAGAATCGTCGCTCCGCAGTTTTGTTCATGAAGAAGAGACGAACCGCGGGAGCAGCTGCTACGAACTCAGTGTTTTGCATTAACTGACCAACATTTTATATTTCATATTTTTGAAACATGACTAAAAAAAAAGAGAGATTAATTATCAAAAATAATTTTGCAATTCATTTTACAACTAATCTGTTTTTTAACATAAACAACTGAACAATTAATCAATAAAATTATGAACAGATTATTGAATAATGAAAATAATAGGTCTACTTTAGTGTTTGGGATGAAGCCTCTTGGACGTCCAGTCGGTTATGCTACTATCGACTTCTGTCCAGTTTAGTGTGAACATAGTGTTAGTGTAAATATCCCAAAGCTTCAATAAAAGAGCTGCTACATAAATAATCCTGACCACTTCTCCTTCCATCTGTCCTTCTCGAGGGACTGATACTCAGCTGGAGCAGGTTTATAGAGATGAGAGGGACCCTGAGTGTTTTCACTGAGGAGCAAAAATAAAAGCTCAATGAAGCTTAAGACAAAGTGTACGGAGGTGATGCAGAGTCAGATCATCACAACAGAGAGGGAATGTTTTCTTTACAAACACCACAAAACATTTGCCATCTGCATCTTCCTGTGAAACTACCAGTTACCACAAAGTCGCCTAAACCTTCAGGACTTCTCACGTTCCTCCTCCTGATACTGAAACTTTTTTTCCAACTGCCAAGGACGGTTTTTTATTTACTGTAACAGGGTCAGTTTCAGGTTGAACAAACTTTACACAAGCTGATGGAGGGAGGAGCCATGTCAGTGTCAAGACAACAAAGACCTTAAGGCTGAATTTCATCTGAAGAACAACAGGAAACACTGTCCGGAGGCGTTACTACTGACTAACGTGCAGTTTAAGAACAGCTATTTTCTCTGTGTGTTGTGTGTGTGTGTGTGTGTGTGTGTGTGTGTGTGTGTGTGTGTGTGTGTGTGTGAGAGAGATTAGTGGATGAGCACATGCACCTTGGGTAAACTGCTGGTTCTCTCTCGCCTGGGTTCATTTGCTACAGATTCTTTAAATTAAATGCTGTCTCAGATTTGTGAAACCTTTATTGTTTGTGAAAACACACACAAAAGTGCAATTTAAACTGACGTTTTCTCCCCCTCAGAGGCACGCTGGTCTGGAAAAGCTCTATATCTGGACTTAGGTTCCTCTCCAGACATGTTCATGTGATCACAATTATATTAATGATGTCTTATTAAAATCTATTCCAATAGTTTTTTTAGTATTAAAAAGAAAAATGGTGTGGTACTCATGGCCATTGTTTTATTTATTTGGAATAATTATATTTTAGATATGGGAGTAAAATGTCATGGAATAACATTTACCATTAATAATTTACTACAAACAGGACTGTGGCCGTAACGTTTGACTCATTATACAGTATTTATACACATGGTTGTCTATAAATCAGACAGGCAGAAATTTAATCCAGGAAAAAGCATAATGCATCATCATTTTTGTGAAAATTCCAAAGTGAACCTAATAATTTTGGAGCTCAAACACAAACTGAAATATACAAAAAGGTAGACAGTGTATATACAGAATACTCCCAATCCTATCAGGCCTTACTTGACTTCAGGTCGTTTCATAGGATGTTTACTATCTTAATTTAGTGTGTTAGCATGCTAGCATTTGCTAATTAGCAGTAAACAAGAAGTACAGCAAGTCCTGTCTACAGTATTTTAATATTAATGTACAGGATGTTATAAAAAATTGGCATGAAACAGATTTTTGATACAGTTTTCTCAGACAAAAAAATATCATGAGGTTTCACAGAACAGTTTCACACACCTGTACGGGAAAAATTAAGCTTCATATTGTGTGTTGTGTTTTTGCTAATGTCCAGGTCCAGAGGAAAACACTGAGGCTGGATGTCGGGGGATGAGTCCATCATGAGAGCCGGTTGTTTATGTCGTCCATGTTGCTGTCAGTTTGTGTCACTCTACCTGAAACAAATCTGACAGGAGCAGCAGTTGTGTACATGAACGTAACTTCAGTTGTCACCACTGTCAGTCCACACTGTTCACAGCTGTGAGCTTGCAACTGGATCGAATAAGCTAACGTGATTGTGGATGAGTGGACTATTAGCTGGTGTGATTGGTCCTTCCTCCTTCCATCTGATTGATCAGTTGCAGTTACATCGTGTTCTCCATGTCAGTGAATTAGACAGTGTCTGCTATAAGACCCTCAAGCCTGGCAGGTTATCCCAGCAGTGGCGGTTAGAGGCCAACTGTGGCGTCGGTGGATGGTGGAAGCTGCTTCAGTTCGGGGGAGGTGTCACCTCCAAAGAGTCGGAGATCATGTGTGCCAGAGGCTAGAGAGAAGGACGGACGCTCCTCCGGTCTCTGCAAACAGTGACAGAAAAACAGCCGTGAACTCAGATCTGATCATTTCATCATTTTTGTTTTTAATATTCTGAGATAAAACTAAAAACAGAGACACGGATGGTTTCTCTCGCGCTCTCACCTCGTGCCAACAGAGCTGCATGATGTCATAGATGGTGGCGTGGCCATTTTGGGCCTGTTACAGGCGTGACCCTGGTTACTAAGTAACGACCTCGTGGTTCTGATGCTGATCAAATGGCATCCGACCCTCGGTGAAACCTCCCACATCAACACACCTGGATTCACAAAAGACATGAAATGTAGAGGCTTTATAAGATAGTGAGATACGTTAAAGCACTTAGTGGTAAAAACACCCCAAGTGCCACTTTATAGGACACCTGATGCCGTTGTGATGGGCTGAAAAAGCTTTGGACAGATTTGTGCACTGATAAAAAACAAAATGAGACGAAAATTCGAACAGAAACTGAATAACTAAAATGAGTTGGTGGTTTAAATGTCGCTCAAGCTTCCACTGAAGAGAACAAAAAACATCAGATCTGTGATGAGCGATAAGGATCTTCATCTTGTCGTGTCGTTGTTGCTCCCTCAAACTGTTTTCTTACATTGATTACAATCAGTGTTACCAAACTAATGTTCTGATTACGTAATGACGTTAAAAGTTGCTCACCGTAGGACCAGACATCCACATGCTGCTGTATTTGCAGAAAGTTAAAGACTTCAGGAGGCGACCACTTCACTGGAAACTTGGCGCCTGATGAACTGGTGTACTGGTTGTCTAACACATATCTACATAAAACACAATAACATTCAGACGAAGACAACCACACGGTCTTTCTACCTGCTGTGAGTCAATCTAAAATCAGACGACAACAAGAGAGTGAATGTGTAGGAATGAAATGCATTACCTGCCATGCCGAAGTCAGACACCTTCACTACCAGGCGTCATTCACCAAACAGTTTCTGCAGCCTTCAGGGGAGATGGAGGGAAATTAAATAAGTCTGTTGCTCAAACAAAATTCACGATTTCAGATCTGCCCCAAATTGAAGCGGTTCTTCCCCGACCCCTCCACCAAGTTCAGTGCAAATGTTTCAGAACCCTTTTTGTGACACGGGTGAATTCAAAAATCGCAAGAAAAGGTGTTCATCATCACTAAATATCTCTTAATTTTCAAACCCATCGTACTGTTTTGTTGCAGGATGGGACAACTGCATTGCTGCACCACTACATGAAATAAAAAGGCCAAAGGAAAAAGGGTTGGAGAAGCAACACGAGAGGAAACCAGCCTCTAAAAAAAACTGGATAAAAAAAGTAACTTGATGTTACCAGATCTCTGTGGGATGAAACCGTGTTGGCCTCCAAGGTGCTCGCATGGCCCTCGCTGACTTCCAGGCCAGATGCTCAAGCAAAGGACCCCAGGCTGAAGCTGCCCCGCTGTGCTGCCTGAGTAGTAGTTCAGCAGCAAGCCCCTGCTCCATGAAACTCTGTGACGATTGTAATGGGCTCGACTCTGGCTGCGTCTGCGATCTATAGTACAGTGACACCAGTTTTAGGTGGACACTATTCTAGTAAAAACACTGCAAAAAGATCAGAGTTCACTGTGTGAAAGCAAAGACATCTAGTGCATCAGTTTTTTCACCAGTGAGAACAAAAATCCTGTTCATTTTATGAATCCTTGAAGACCATTTATGAGATAGTTTGGATATTTCTGATTTCTTACTGCACTAATCATCCTGGAGTCATTCAATGCTGTAGCGATGGGAAATAGTCCTATCACATTTGTGTCATCTACATGGCGCCCACAGCTCCAGAGACAAGAGGAATACGTGCGTTGTGCCAGCCAATAATACCTCCAGTAGACGAAAGTCAAAGATGAGCAAAGGTCACCGTCCCTATAATGCAGACGTACGTAAATTTTTCCCAACGCGTGTTTTTTACTTTCGCTTTCCCTCGACCCCTTTAATATTTTCCCTCCCATGTCTTCTCCTTCCTTACATCTATGCACATTCGTGCCCTCCTCGATTGAGTCCTACCTCGTACATGGCCACCTCTCTGAGTTGCGCCTTGATGGCCACTTTTTGTGCTGAGCCCTCCACTTGCCAGCCTCATCAGCCGAACTACTGCCCGCTGCCCAGCTCCTTCATGAAGGTCAAGCTCACTGGGTGATTCTCCCAACTTCTCTGGAGGACGGAAAAAGAGAGAGAGAGAGAGAGAGAGGATGAGGAGGAGAAGGTAAAAGACAAAAGAGGCTTTGGTTTGTTCATGATAGACATTTGTCGGAAAGAACTCTTGGACTCACCGAGCTGAAACCCGGTGACGACCAGATAGTCCTGTTTCCTTAACAGGGATACCTCAACCTGGCTACAAGGACCTGAAGATGGAGAGCACGTGAAAATGGTAAGGAAAGACGGGAGAAACTTTACATATTTACGCGGTGGCAGAAGAAAGCTTGGTCCACTGCTAGCTGTCTTTTTTATTTACATGAGTTTTACATGAGCCACTCACAAACAGAAAAACAACCACAACCTAAGGAAGTTCGAATTAAACGGAAAATTAAAAATAACAAAAACAAAAGTGAGAAAAACTATTATTTAATGATTGAACTATTCCGGACAAATGACATAATTAAATGTAATAAGAAGCTCCTGCTCTGCTCATTCACAAACCTTCAGCTTACACATATGGTTTTTTTCTCGCTTCCAAGAACCGAAATTTCAGTTTCCTTTTTCAAATCGTCATTTCTCAATATCTATTGTCATTAACACGGCCTGATTGTCTGAAGTAGTACAAATAAAGATAGTTCTTTGCCATTTTCTCTTTTAATTTTCATTCTTTCACTTTCATTTTAATTCTGAGCTACACAAGCTCTCTATAACAACCTGCTTGGAACTGAGGTAACTCATTTTGCTCCCTCGTTATACCACGGGAAACATCTACTCAAACAAGTTTACCTTTAAACATCTACATACTTACCAATTGTTAGCCAGTTACAGTATGCAAGTAATACTACATGAGTGAGATAATGAGTTGTTGTACCTGCTGCGTTGTGTGTTTGTGTACTCGATCAGGTCGGGGATGGAGCTGAATAAGTGTTTTCTCAGCCAGGTTAAAAACTGTGTAGGTGAGCCTTGTGTCTCCTTAGTGTGCGCGTAATGTTTTTATCGCGTCGCACCTCCATCCCTACAAACACATGCAAAAAAGGCATTAAAACGAACATCCACAATTAATAATATTCGCAGTTTATGGTCTTTAAACAGACATACAGTATAGTTCCATTTACCCTGTGGCAGGACTTGGTGTAGACGAGAACGGATTGTACGTTCCTGGGCAGTGGCTGGAGTTCTCTGCACAATGAAGCCTCCTTCTTTGTCCTGCAGGGGCCCGACACAGAGTGAAAAAATATAGCCTTATTTAAGCTATCTTTGGGGCATCTATATGTGTCTTTATTAGAGAGTTGACAGTACTAGCTAAAGAACAGTACTTTATCAGTCGCTTTTGTTTTGGATATTTTTGCATCATAAGAAGGACAGCAAAAAGAATTGACGGAGTGAGTGAATAACGAGAGAGGATAGTTGAAGAGAAACAGAAACCTGAAAATGAAAGGGGAAAAAGAAATGGAGGACACATGGGAGGGCAAAAAAAGAACACAACGAAGGAAAGAAGAAACAAAGACGTAAAAAAAAAAAGGCGGTGAGAGAGAAACAGTAAAACACTCACCTCCTTTCCTCAGCAAGCTCCTCTGCCTTTGTTCCTGTTGACTTGTTTACTTGTACCAACTAAAACAAAACAACAGAATAAACGTCCCTTACACTGATATCTTAATACTTACAGATCTCTGTAGCACAATTTCACTGAACTCAAATGTCCAGCCGCCATAAGATGAGCCGTCTCAAAATAAATATGGTGATTTGTGCATAAAACGTATGAGTTGTATCTAATTTCCTGTAGTGTTGACCTGCAGTATGTGCACCATGAAGCACTTGCGAGACATTCCTTCATCCCTTCAATGCATTAAAAGTCCACGAATTCAAAGTCCACACACATATGGATTCTGCCAGTATCAAACTGATTTTCAGCACCATGAGGAAAGTGCCTGACTTTATAGTTGCGTGATCTCTCT